GGTCACATGTTTTCTTTCATCTGTGGAAGCTAAAGAGGAAACAGGAAAAGAAAGTGGGGTGTGGATCTCATGAAAATCAAAGGGAGCTCAGTAAAGTAAAGGGACAAAGGGGAGGGAATAAGGGAGGAAAAGGGGAAATGCTGGATAACACTATTGACCAAATTATATTGTTATACTGTGTGCATGTACAAATGTGTAGCAACAATTACCACCATTATGTATAATTAAAAGTACCAATACAAATATGGAAAAAATATATAAAATTTTTTAAAGGTAAATGGAAAATAAATCTTGATACTATGCTTTCTATAGGGCAAAAGACTTCTACTTTTATCAGCCTGGAAATTATTATTCTTTAACCCTCCTGCCAAATGCATTATTCCCAGTCCAGGACTTCACATTTAAATGAAGATGTATAGCTCTCCTGCTAAGAAAACTAATATATATATATATATATATATATATATATATATATATATATATATATATATATATATATATATATATATGATGGACACAATATCTTTATTTTTTATCTATTTATGTGGTGCTGAGATCAAACCCAGGGCCTCATGCATGGGAGGCAAGCACTCTACCACTGAGCTACAACCCCAGCCCCATGTTTTTTTTTAAGTTGTGGATTAACTTTTATTTTTACTTTTTTATTTTTATGTGGTGCTGAGAATTGAACCCAGTGCCTCACACATGCTAGGTAAGTGCTCTACCACAACTCTAGCCCAAGAAAACTAATTTTTGAAGAAAAGAAAATTTGAAGTTCCTTAGAAATATAGATTGGTCTAAAACCAAGAGAATTTTTCTAGAAAAAATAATCATATAATTTTAAAAACATAGTATATAAAAAAAACCTCAGAGGCTATTACCCATTCTTCTTTCTGTTTGATGACCATATCCCATTGGATGTGAAATTGGGTTGAAGAAATCAGTTCAAAAACTGTCCCCTTGATTCTGTGTTGTCATTCCTTGACCTGGATTGCTATCAGGGGCTAAGGCTATTGTGACCACACAGTTCAAACAGTTATCAAAGCATTAATTGCATTGAACAAAGGACACACTGATATTTTTAAAAAGATTCTCTAGACAAAACAATGAAACTGTATTCCCAGTGGGCAATGAAGTTTCACATATAGAATATTTCATCAGGTTTGGGTTCATCCATGGTCATTTTCTTGGTGATCAACATGTGAATGGAGGACACAAAGCGGCTTTATTAAAAACTTCTTCAGTCGATAGAGGATAAGTTATAGACATCAAGGGAAGATGGAGACATAGTTCTTGATCCATGATGCTGCAGTCCCCTCAAGAAGGAAGTACAAGTGCCCAACTGCATGATGTCATTCTGAGACTACCATATCCCAGTGAAACTCACAATAGGCTGTTAGTGATCTAGAGAAGGAATCAGATAACAGCTTCCCATGTGATAATCATTGAAGTTAATGCCATTCATCATGAAAGCATGAATGGAATCCATTCAAAAGCATTAACTTCTAACAATGGGATTCATGGCATAAATGATTATAAAAATATAGCTCAGACCTTTGCTTCATTCTGTGCCAATGGAGAAGTATAGATAGAAAAGCTCACAATAGTATCCCCCAATAACCATACCACATATCCAGTCACTGAATCCACTGCTTTACTAGAAATGCATTCAAAGGAACCATTTACTGCAGAGATATTATGTATCATATTCTATACTGCAAACAGAAACATGGGAATATTTCTCATTGTTACCAAGTAAGAATGTGGAATTCACTTTATTTACAAAGCAGGGTGTATCTCAATATGTAAATCACACAGACCAAAGAATCATGCATAGGAGCTTACAGAAACCAACTTATCCGGCATCACTTAGTGATGATAAGACTTGAGAACAATTTCTATAATCCCATGATTCAAGAATAGAGGTAATTTGTTTAAAAATCTGGAAAAAAATACACTCAAGGAACACTCACCAAACAAATATGAATAAAAGGCCAAATGACATTAGCCCAGGGTTATTTTTCTTATAACATCTGGATCCATTTCTTTGAACACCAGGGTTCTGACAAAATTTTCACAAGCCTAGTATTCCACACAACCATGTTGTAAAGGTGGACTCACATTACATGTAGATTCCTTTACAAAACAAAAAGGAGCAGAAGATCAGTGTCTCTGATGTCATCTCACTAGGGAACACCCAAAGCTACATGTGAAAATGATATCCTTTTTTTAAACTTCAATGGCATATTATTACTCTTTATTTTGAAGGTTGGTAGCAAAGTTACTGTTAACAATATAAATATTTTCTTTATAAGTGTTGAAATTGTCTTGGAAGTGTTGAAAAGGCAGTAGACATTCCAAGATGGGCTTGCAAGGAAAATCAATTATTTCAATTTTGAAGGTTTGTAGGGTACCTGATGAGTTTATTCTGACTATTTTAACTTCTGTACTAACTTCTGATTTTCATGGTTTATTCCTCATTTGGTATTATCAAAAGAAATCTAAGTCGAGGTCTTTTAGCTTACAAAATTATTTCCATTTTCCACTATTTTCTCTTTAGCTTTTTAAAATATATGGTAAAACAATCCAATTAATCATTGCAGGAAGGAATGATCATTTAAGCTAAACCATATTGTTTTGCCTTTAATTTCATTTAAGAGAAATTAATATTTGAGTCATAAAACTTTACAGTTTCAACACACATACAGAATTCAAAGTTTTTATGCCTTCAAAAAAGAGCTTCATTTAATTCAATGTATCATGAACAATTTTTAGTTTGATGAAAACTGACAAAATTGCTTCCTTTAATAAAGCAGCCATCACCTTTAAATATTTTACAGATGGAACTGTGTTCAGTATTGATCCAAGGTGGCATCAAAGCCATTACCATAAACTAATCATAAAGGTTCTATATTCTGTAATGTTCCACCAATTATTCTAAATTTATAATACCCTGTCTTTAACTTGGTGTATACCTTCTTTTGGGAAAAAATTACTAGTTTTTTTGAGATGAGATATAATAAGAACAAACACATTCTCAAGGTTCTATCTTTGAAATAGAAAAACAGGACGATGTTGCACATAGCAGCTAGTTTGATATTCTTGAGGGCACATTCCCTATGTTTTCTCTATGTGCTTGTATCTATTCCCATTCAGGTGATTTTTTTAGGAGCATTTAGGGTTTGCCTTTGTGTTCATTGCAGTATAACTTATTAAGAAACCTAACATGACAATTCCTTCATTGTCCTTTTGTTCAATGTCCTCGGTGCCCAACATTTAAGCATAAGCACATTTCCACCCAAGTTTTCTTATTAAACTATACATTATCACTTGTTCCTGTTTTGTTGAACGAGAGTGTTCCTTTGGTGTTTGGGGATATTTTCCTTGTCATTGTTCCCAAACCACTCTTCCTTCTGGGTAGCTGTTTCTTCCATTGTACTACAAGAAGTTGCCCAGGCTATGAGAAGAATGTCAATTGTGAGGTCACTATTGTCCAGTTGCCTCACCAACATCTCTTTATATCTTTCCACATAACAAGAGACAAAAGAAAAGGAAGACAGCTGGGAGACAGACAGCTAATATTCAGAATTAGAAATGAAAAAAGAATTAGAAATGAAAGGGCCCAAGCCTTTAATTTCTCAGGTGGGCAAACTAGGGCCCAAAGAAATTTTTATTTGCTCAAATTTTATAGCCATCATGCAAAGTTAGGACTAGACTATAGCCTATGAATTCTTAGTGTTATTATCATTTTACTATAGTCAATAGCCTCACATATCCTAAGACAACTGTTCAAAGAACAAACTCTTTGCCCCAGTGATTTTTGAAGTTAGAAATATATTGCATAAAAAGTTATGATAAGAAGAGTGTAGTAGGAGGGATGCTCAGAGGGGTCACATCCCCTCTAATCACACCCACCAGAAATGTACCAGCAATAGCTGTTCCCGTCATGAGAGTTGTTAGGATGCCTGGGATGTTTTAACACTGACCTATAATGTGATTATGTCCATGTGGCTTCTAAAATTGCTAAAAATCACTTCTTAACAAAACTAATTCAGTGGAAGAAAAACTATTTCAGCCAGTTTGGGGCACTGTGTAAAACAATAGCAGTGTAAGAGGCAGCAACTTAAGAAGATAAAATAAATGGAATAAAATTTCATCAGAGTACTGTCAGGAAATCTCAGAAAGCCCTTGACATTTTCATCCATAGCAAGAACTCAGAGAAAATTTCTAGTTCAGTAAGAAAATGAGAGCCTGTACATTTGCCAAGCCAAATTATTTTTTGTGACTTGTAAAATTGGTTGTGTGATTTGAAAATGGTATGTATGATTTGATAACAGCACATAGACTTGAAAAATAAAACTATTGTCTTAAAAAAAAGACTACATGTAGCCAGCCAATACTTTAAATATGTTCAGTGGGAGTTAATTTGTGATTTCAAATACCAGGAGCTGTGATAAAGTTTCCAAGACTAAGGGTCAAAAAGGAGTCATGATGCAATCCAGGCAGGACAGTGAAGATCCAAAAAGATGGACAAAATGATTTATCTACTTCTTCATTTTGTTAAAATGATAAATTTTTTTAAATGAATATCATTTATATTTGGGAATGATGGTGCATGCCTATAATCCTAGCTACTCAGGAGCTGAGGCAGAAGAAACAAAGTTTGAAGCCAACCATAGTGATTTACAGAGACCCTGTCTCAAAAAATAAAAAGGGCTGGGAATGTAGCTCTACTTCTGAGCTACATTAATATCATAAAATATTTTTTAAATGATCATTTATTATTGAGCATAATATATGTACATTGGGTAAGCAGAAAGGGAAAAGGGCATAATAAGAGCAAACAGATAGAAATGAACATTTTGGGGGGATGGGTACCAGGGATTGAACTCAGGGGCACTCGACCACTGAGCCACATCCCCAGCCCTTTTTGTATTTTATTTACAGACAGGGTCTCACTGAGATGCTTAGTGTCTTGCTTTTTGCTGAGGCTAGTTTTGAATTCACAATCCTTCTGTTTCAGCCTCCTTAGCAGCTGGGATTGCAGGCATGTGCCACTGGGCCTGGCTAAGAAATGAATATTTTTAAGAGTCATTGTATTAGATCCCCAGTGATTCCTGAAACAGCTATACAACAGATAACAAGTGACTTTTGCCACACCCTATCAACAGCTCAATAAGAGTTGTTCCACAAATACAAATTTTAGGTTTGACCATGTTCTGCATGGTACCTGTGAATTTTAAGAAAAAGAATATACAGTACAAATGTTTTTGAGTGCAAAATGGGTAAACAAATTCAGCAACTTAAAATGACAGAGTTGCAATACAATTTTCAATTGACTTGTACATGTATCTAAACTAAATAAAAAGACCTATGCTTTTTAGATTCATTTATTTCACACCCTCTTTTATGTCAGATACCATGTACCTTATTTTGCTATAAGAAGACAGTTTCCAAATATTCCAAGTTTATAACTACCTACTGTAGTTTATCAAAGGCCACAAACTTATCAGATTTCCTCCAAATTAATGAGCAGGGGTACTGAAGGGCTTCTTTTTTCATGAGAAACAAAGTAAATGTATCTTACCTAATTCCATATAAACTACATCTCCCTAGTCCCCATGCTCTAGAGTAGCATGATTCACACATAGAAGGAACTCAGTAAACACCAGTTATTAATCAGGCTTTCTCTGTTGATTCCTGGCCCCACCATACACACATAACTCCTACCCATGTTTCCACCAGCAATCACTGACAGCAATCAGCTCTGAAGCCTGCCCATCACTGACCCTGGGGAAATAGTCAAAGCCTGATGACCTAAGCAGAAGAATGTCTTTTGCTGAAGAAAGCCATCACCTACTTCCCTTCTGCTCAGGTAATTGAATGAATCTCTCAGGCTTTCACAGGAATCTGCACAGGCATGTGGCGTCAAACTTTCATCGACAGTGAACCTATTCTACACCAAACTCCTCTAGTAAGATAAGTTGTATATACAAAGCCGAATTCCTGGTTTCTGTTGATTCTCCTGCATGCTAGCCAACCACCCTAACCACATTAAAGCTGGAGCACCCTACCAGAAAATAAGGCTGAGACCTAACCATCCCTTTCTAGCTGCTGTCCTAAAGCTTGCCTAGGAGTTGCTCGTATCCCTGGTTGGTTTTAATGATCAGATAATCCATTGCCCTTTCTCAGCCCTTGACCCAGTGCACCCCAGGAAAGTGAGGAGCTCCACGTGTTAGCTGATGCCCTTGGAAAATCATTTCTCTAATTCTTCTCCAAGTCCAGTTGGTCGAGTCGCTTTATGATCATGTTGTTGATTTTCTTTAGGTCATCTATGTCTCTTCCATCAGCTATTAGTCTTCTTGACACATCATCCATCTTGTTTCCAGTTTGAACTTGAAAAATGGAAAACAGACTGTGTTATACTGGTTTCCAGTATGTTCCACCAGAGCTCATCTGAGTGCTGAAAGGCACTCTTGGCAAACCCCCTGTTCCATTATCCATGGATTCCAGAAACCCAGGAGAGAAACTGGAGAAAAGTGAAGGTGCACGTTAAATGAATTATTTTTACAACCTCTTAGTGCCAATCTAGACCACCCCTGGCAGCTCCACCCAGGTTTTGGCTAAGAAAGATATGTCTATGAGAAATCAAATTAAACTGCCAATGTGCCTGATTATTTCTCCAGAAGCGATTGTTATATTGTTGTATTTCCAGGCCCATTCTCAGGAAAGGGCTTTTGCTCATCATTTGGAAAATGACATTCTCTGGGTTCCAACCTATTTTGACATGTCTGCTGATTCTAAATTACCAACTCATAATGAATGTTTAATCATTCCCCTCAGATCACTCCTGAGAATAGAGCACAATATTTTCCAAATAAACAGAACCCCTGCAGTATAGTAAGCTGGGAATGTAAACCTTTGAGGTCTGTTAATTGGAGCTAATATTTCTAAGAAATGCTGCACAGAATCAATGCTTTATCTTTGAACTCCTTAACATTTCCATTTCAGGCATTTTTTTTTCCTCAAAACTATCTCTGGGACCTAATAGTGTTGATAACATGCTGCTGGGCTTGGCTGATAAACTAAGCAGAGGAGGTAAACTAGCTGTTAGAGGTTCACCTCCCAGCCTTGGGGCAAATTGGCTGCCCTGTGCTTACTTCTTGCTCATGTCTGAAAAATTACATTGGATAAAACATGGTCCTACCTCTGTTCCACAGTGCACCAGTCCTGAAATAAATTCCATAAAAAGAGAAAGGGTTCCATGTATAAAAGAGTCAGAGCAAAAATATATGCCCACCTGCCCCTTGGAGATGCACAGGAAGCAAAGAAACACCCTGAACATTACCTAAGCCAACAGTTCCCAAACTCATTTGACCACGAAGACACCCCCCCCCCTTTTATTTTATTTTTTCCCAAAGGCAACACTTATCCCATGGAACTAGCATTGATTTCTGGATGATATGCAAATGAGAGAAATTGAGATGGGGTTTGAACCCTGAGTGTGACTACATGTTATAGATCTGATTTTAATGGTAGCCAACTGATCCTGCTGCCCGATGGAGTCACCTACAATTTGGCAGCTAGGTTTCCCAAGGGAGAAACTTAAATGTTATATTAATATTTAGCATACATGTCTGTGACCTTCAAGCACTGTGCCCTTGTGCAATAGGCTTGTGCCCCAGGGACCATATCCCTGAGCAAAGGGATTCACTCGAGGTGTTCATTCCCCTTGTGTTTTCCAGGGGAAACTTTGACTTCCAGAAAGCACTGACTCATCCCAAGGGCAAAGTTGAACAACTGGCTAGGAAAACCAGCTATGCATCATGTGCACTTAGTAATGAAAACCCTGCTGGTGGTACTTACTTATTAGAAATATCACGAAGAAAACCAGTGCCAAGCTGACGATCAGTGCAATTAGCAGCCCCATAAAGAACAGACTCCGCCTCCCATTTCCTGAGCGTGTGCCAAAGTCTGGGATTTTCTCTTCAAGAGCTAATAGGAAACAAACAAAAACAGTGCAGACAAAAACTCCTCAGCACACAACTTGTCAGCAGAAAGGAACAGCAACTCATTGTTAGAGACATGAGTAATGAATACACCCATTTTCCTTCTGACAGTCCTGGAAAGTGATTTATATGTTAGGAATGTCTTTGGATGGGTACATTTTTTGGAATTGTTTACCTTCCTCTCTTTTGGTATTCAAAGAATGAGCAAGGGTAAGCTACATGGTCAGGCCTCTTTGGAAAGTTTTTTTAAGACTGTGTTAGTAGCAGGACATGGATTGTTCTTTGGGGGAGGGAATAAAGAAGTGAAAGATTAAGAGTGACAGAGGCTCTATAGTCCTCCCACAGTAACCCAGGAGCAAAACAGAGCTGGGTGTGGGCCACCTGCCTTGGATGGAAATTGAATACTCTGGGCTGTCTCCCAGGAAATCCCTGTTATTATAGGAATAATCAAGCATGCCTACACCCATTTAAACAAAAGTGGTCCTGATATATTTTGGTTTCTTAAAACTGTTTTTAAGATGGATATCCTCTGAAATCAGGGTTCTTTCCAATATTTTGAGTTGAACTGAGAATCCAACCTGCTCATAAAATAGCTTGGTTCACCCAAACCTTGAATTGTCTGCATCCAGTAACCTTTTTAAGGCCTAGGTCCCTAATAGCTCTGAGATTAAACTGAGTAAGAAATATGAAAACTGGGGTAGTGGAGATCATTGAATTATTTCTTTGTATGCTCTCCTACTTTGAATTGGTCCAACACATTGTGGTCCTGGATTGTGGATAAATGGATGGCTTAAGTCCCATGCCCTATAAGTATATCCTATATCATCCCCCTTATTGACACACACACACACACCCGCTTTTATTGAGATTGACTGCAATAAAAATGATGAAGATCTGAACCCATTAAAATGATGAGAAAAGCAAAAACCGAGAAATGATTTAGAAGGGGAATGATAGATATAAAACTGGGATAGTAAGTTGGGAGTACACAAAAAACAAACGGCAAGTGAGCAATTCACATTAGGGTTCAAACATCAGCATTTAAGATAGAAAAGAAGGAGCTCAGAGGGTCTGGTAGAACTCATTTATAATATTTAGTGAGCAGCATACACATTTAGTATTCAGCAGATTTTGTCCACCCCGCATATTTTTCTAACTATTTAATTGGGCAATTTGTAATTCAGAAGGAGAAAATGAAGTTGATTCTTTTGCCCAAGAGAATTTTAATGATATTTTTATAACTGGTGAATGTGTTGAGCATTTTCTCAGCAATACGCTATGAAACAAAACCCCTGGGGGAAGGTGGGCAGTATCGAGGATCTAGCTGTGGTCCCTAAGAAGCATTACAACAGATAACAGAGGCATGAGCAAGCCTTGAGAGTCCAGCTCAGCAGCCTTCACCCTTCTTAGGGACAGAAACACCACAAGATTTTTCCAGGATTTTTAAAGAGTTCAAATCTTCCTTAGGAGCCAAGAAAGCTCATAATGGCATGGGTATTCAAAGAACAAAAGCAAAACCTGCCTAATGATAAATAGCATTTCCAATGCCAAGCTATACCTACCACCCCAACCCCTACCCAACACCCACAGGTCCACTTTTGCCTTTGCCATTTTTAGGCAGCCTGGATGCCAGGAAGGGCCACTAAGCCACCAGGGGCACACATACGGAACAGATGCTGTGATCCAGCAGGATAGAGGTTTAGTTTGTTTAAGTCATTAATGGAATCCACGACATAAAGCTTTCCATCTTCGTGAATGTCACGAGATCCAGTGTCCTGGAAAGAATGATTCATTGCCCCTGGAAAAAAAACGTGACATTAAAAACAAGGGGCTGGGCTGTGGAACTCCACAAGAATCAGAGGCATCAGGAAACTAGACAGGCAAAGACCCACCCACAAATGCTGTTTTCAAGTAAGGGTCTGGCTTTGCTTATCCAGAGGAAAATATACCTTTTGATGGACAACTTTCTAATTCTTTTTGCTTTCTTGCCAGGAAGCTCATGGTCAAATGTATGTACCAGTTTCTAAAATTATACAACTATTTATGCCCTGCTTATCTGCCTATACTCTTTTCTCTTCCTTAGATTGCTCAGTTCTACCTATTTCCCCCTAGATCTTGTTTTTTTATTTTGTAATTGATTCAAAATTTTTCCTCTTTTATGACACTGTTCATGCTCCAGTGAGATGCCTTAAATCCTTTGTGCAGGAAGACTAGCTAATAAATATAAAGAATGGCTGTGGCCAAAATCATTCTGAAAGAAGAAAACATTACTATGAGACCTTTCTAGTTGCAGGAGGCTTTAATACAACATTGTTACTTTATATTCTCCCTCAATATGGCATGAGTTCTGACCCTCAAATCTATCCTTTAGCCACTAGCTGACTGTGGGTTTCTAAGACACAATCTTAGTAAACTTAGATGATGTAGAGAAAACGCTGCTAGATTCTAGTTCAATGACTTGAAAAGCTTTCTCTTCTTTCATGGTAATATAGGTTTTTTGGTCTGGGAAGGATTTTGGACCTGCTTTAAGTCCAGCCCTTATCCTTTCCACAAATGAGGACATTGGAGCTCAGCCAGGTAAATGCCCCAAATCATGTATTTAGCTAATAGCAGAACTAGAATCAGACTGCTGTTCAAAATCACTGGGTCTTCCCTCCTGCTAACTTTCTATTCAACACCCTCCCTAATCCTTTTTCAAGCTGCCTTTGGTGATGCATACACGCCTACGATCCAAATGACTCAGGAGGCGGAAGCAGGAGAATTGCAAGTTTCAGGCCAGCCTCAGCAACTCAATGAGAACCTGTCTCAAAATAAAAAATGAAAAGGGCTGGGGATGTGGCTCAGTGGTAGAGCAACTGGGTTCAATCCCCAGTACTATAAAAAACAACAACAACAAAAGACTCAGCACAAACCATCTCCTATGAGAGAACTGAACTTTTTGTGTGCCCTGACTGGCTGCTGAGCATTCTTATGCTATCAGAACATCTACAACACCTCATTGCATTTGTTGGCTGACATCTTTGATTTCCCCAACAGACTGAAAATTCCTTAGGGTAGGGAACAATCCTATTCAGTGCCACATTTATAAGCCCTTGACTTCTGTTAGTTAAGCTGGAACACCTAAAATATTTATTTAGGGTGTAACCTATCTGAAAAGACTTTTGAGGCAGTTAGTAAGTAAGTACACTAACAGAATTAAGGCTAAGGGAAAAATGCTCATGTGATATCTATTTAGACTCCAGTAAGGTCAGTGCAATAAATATTGTGGCTGCCTATAGGTGGCAGCACACTGTTTACTTCCTGATAATATTTAATTTTTTTTCCTTTATTACCCAGCTACAGAATGAAAATTATAATTAGAGTTAGGAGAAAACCAAATCCAGTGGGAGGGGCAGTATAAATCTTTAGAATATCTGGAAAAAATTGTCAGCCATTTACTAAACACCTTAAATTACACTATAAAATATCAAAACCCAGCCATTCCCTAGTAATACCTACAACCTATCTGTACTTGTGGAAAATACGCTCTCAGGACCCTAGATAAGAAATCCAGTAAGCTGAAAAAGTCATGGACTAATCTTTAACATTTTTTCCTTAAGGTTTTTCAGAGTTAAAACTAAAAAGTGTTTTCATTCCTGAAAATTTAATTAACAAGAACACATAATTTCTTGGGGCTGGCCTGGAGCTCAATGGTGGGTTCTATCCTCAGCACCACATAAAAAATAAAAAATAAACATATTGTGGCCATCTACAACCAAAAAAATTTTTAAAAGAACACATAATTTCTTGAATATTTTAAACAAAATGCTACTGAACCACATTAGATACCGAATTCCAAATACATTTCTGTAACATTCCTAAGGGAAAGACATGACATGATAATCAAATGGAAAAAAAAAAAACACAAAAACAAAAACCCAACAGCAGCAGCAGCAGCAGCAAATAGAGTAAAAGGACGTTAGAGATAAATTTTAACTTTGCAGTAAAATCAAGGATCAAAAGTATTAACTGCAAGGTCACAGATTTTTCTAAACCCTCCTAAACGTGTTTAATATCTTATCATCTCTATTATTTATTATCCTAAATACTAATATTTGACCAGGAAAAATGTTTGTGTCATGTCATAGGATCATCACTCCAAACAAACATAGCTTCTATTTTAGGCTTGGTGACTGACGCATGCTTCTTTGGATCTCTGACTTAATATCCTTGAGCCTTAGCTTTCCCTTCAGGAACGTGACTGCTCTTGCTTAAATCGAATACAGAAGCATAATCCGTGTTGTACAAAGCAGAGGATTAGCTAGGAAATCAGAGCTAAAAAACTGACTCATGAGGAACAGTCCAGCTAATGAAATCTCCAAATTACTGACCTTGCCACCTAGTTAGAAGGTGATTCCAAAACATCTACAACAGCCTATGCTAAGTAGTGCTCTGAAAGAAAATTTCTTCAGAGTGAAGACACAATGCAAGTAGATGCTATTTCAATATATTTTTTAATGAAAAACAACAACACGCAAATAGAAACAAAGAACTGGCAGAGAACCCTGAGTTGGGTGTGGCCTGTGGCCACCAGGAGCCTGCAAAATGGCTTGCAAATGATTCAGTTAGTAAATGGATATGAGATCACATGGCTTGAAAAGCAGGAATCACAGCTGTTTGACACCCAGTGGTTTCTATCTTTGGCATCTCCAAATGAGGGCATCTGGGAACAACCAACGCTGGAGAACCAGTGTGGCCAGCAATTCTGATCATACTAACTCAATCCTCCTTCCGGACTCCAGGGTGCAAATTTGCTTATTCACCAAGATTGACCAAAGTGGCATCCTTTTAAAAGAACACTGATACCTTTGACTGAAACATGTAAGTAATTTGTTTCTTCTAGTTTAGATCATTGCTAACAGCCGAGTTTGGGGAAATGTAAGAATTTTTTCACTACCTACAAATAAATATCCTCACAAATAAAGATAGCTGTCTATGAAAAACTGCTTTGTGCTTTATTTTTTCCCTGCAGGTGCTTGGTATCATACCACAAAAATAACTCACACTGATATTGCTTGCCAGAAAATCAGAATTGTTACAACAGGACTTAAAGCTAATAAGCAGCTTTGAATCATGGTAATTTGTTCTTTAATTCCATTTCAGTCAATGCCTCTTCAGATTCAGGAAGTAATTTTTAAAATCCAGTTTAAATCATTTCTATTGAAAGTTAAAAGCACAGGGCACATGCAACAAAAATTTCCCAAACTCAAGAATCATAATTTAGTCTCAGAGTAATAGCATGCAAAATTACTTACAAAAATCTGAACTTTGCTTGGTTACCAGGAAAAAACAACTAATTACTCAGGAGCAACTACAACACAAAATGTTTTACAAATTCTGTAGGTCTTTCTTTGCCTTCCTGCGGAGCCCAACTGTTTCCGTGAGGCCCATAAACTCTAGCACAAAACTGGTGACCTGTTTAGTGTTTATTTATCCAAGCAATGTAAGATTCCAAATACTAACTTTCCCCCTAATATCTAAGGTTTTCAATTAATATATAACTGAAACTATGCTCTAAATCAACAACAAAACACCACTCCCCAATTGAGTTGGTGATTGGTGAGATTCTTGTTAGACTGAAATTAATGTCCTTATTTGGCTGATGCAACTGTAAGCTGATACCACATTTCCAGCACTTCTGTCATGGCTACTCCTGTATATAAATATCTTGCAGCAGGCAGGAGCTGCTACTGTGATGACTAACTTGCAACCATTCCTGACCAAACAGAGAACTGCAATAAGTAGGGAGAGAGTATTACTGTGTCATCCTAACTAGGATGATGGCAGGAATGTTAAGTCAGTTTTCTATTACTACAACAAAATACCTGAGATAAAGAAACTTTTAAAGAGGAAAGGTTTATTTTGGCTCGGTTTTAGAGATTTCAGTCCATGGTCACTTGGCCCCACTGCCTTCAGAACTGTGGCAAGGAAGAACATTGTGGTAAAGATCACATGGCAGAGGAAGCTGCTCGTCTATTGGAGGCCAGGAAGTTAAGAAGACAAGAAAGCGCCAGGATACCAATATCCCCTTCCAGTGCACACCCGAACAACCCAACTTCCTTCTACCACCTCCCAATCCTACCATAAGCTAGAGATCAAGCCTTTAACACATGGGCTGATGGGAGACACTCAAGATCCAAACTATAGCAGCAGATGACTCTAGGACTTCTAAGTAGCTACAAAATTGAGTGGAAAGACTACATTGCAATAGACCCACTGCAGGTGAAGGAAATGTCTCAACCTCATCTCCTTTTCAAAGGCTTTCTTCTGAGTTTTGTATATTCTCCTTTCTCAAGAATGTCAGTCTTTCACTTGTATGGTGACTTCACAAGCATGCCAAGGAGCTTTTGCCCTTTGGCATACATAAAAGATATTACAGTAAGGTTTGAGGGCACAGGTATGAACTATTCCAGTCTATTAAAGGTTTCACTGTAAACAGATCTGTAGTCCTTTATAGTCCTACTTGCCAACTAGACGGACATATCTTTGGAACTTTTTGCACATCATTTAGAAAATGTGTGCTCTCCAAAGCTCCCTTTACACCTAATTTCCATAGGGACCTCATTCTGCTGTCGGGGAAAGATCATTTTCTCAGGCCTCATCTCTACCCAAGAACAAACTTATTGACGAAGAGTATGGAATTAGTAACAGTTTTCTCCAAAATCCAATTACACATTTAAAAACTGATAAATTCCTCTAATAAAAATGCTATTATTTTGCCATGCCTAGATTTATAAAGCCTACCAACTACTAATGTCATAAGTCACCTATCTTTTGAAGAAACAGAAGTATCTGCCTTGTTTTTCCTCTCTCTTATAACCTTATAATCTCAAGTATTAGTCCCTGTCAGAAACAAGGAATATGGATATTAAAAACCTTTTTTTTTTTTTTTTGGTACTGGAGAATGAATTCAGACTTGCATATGCTAGGCAAGGCCTCTACCACTGAACCAAGCCTTTTTTAAAATTTTTGAGATAGGATTTTCAAACTAAGTTGCCCAGGCTGACCCCTCACACTTTAGATC